CTCACCCTGGGAGCAGCAGTGATCCCAGCTGAGCCTTGCTGGGTATGGGGCCAAGGTCCTGTGGCGCCTCTGGCAAGGAGCTGTGGGGCCTCTTGGGCCACAGAGGAACCAGGGAGGAACCAAGCAAGGGGCTCCCAATTTCTCTTCGGATTCCTTATTATCCCCACCCCAGGAAAAACATCAGGCCCATAGTCTGCATATTAAGTGAGAATTATTTGCCCGTCCTATAGTCATGCAAGACACTCAATTTAGCTCTCACCTACTGGTGGCCTCCACCCCATGCCCAGCACTTGAGCTCATCCAATCTTCACAGCATCACGATTCCACAGAGAAGAGTCCCAGAGGTTAAAGACTTGCCCAAGGTCACACAGCCGCTAAGAACTATGACCTTAATCAGATCTGCTCACCATAACCAGGCCAGCTACAGTCAGCTGAGATCACTCAAAGCCGAGGCAAAGAAGTTTGTGTTTCAGGTTTTTTTTTTAACTCCATGATTTACAAAGTTGGCTGACTCTAGGAATCACCTGGGGAGCTTTAAACAATCCCCAAGGCCAAGCAGTGTCCCCAAGCCAATTAAATCAGAATCCCTGTGGTGGGACTCAGGCCTTGGAATTTTTGAAACTTCCTGTGGTGACGCTAACATGCAGCCACGTTGAGATCCACTGATTTAACCAGTGCAGTTTCTGCGGATGAAAAGGCTCCCTCCAGGACTAGGAATGGGATTTGTTAATAGTGATTGTTAATAGCCGCTGACAGGGTGGTCACCCTGCCATTCCAGGGGCACCATTCCCAGTTTAATCTATGGGAGTCGAGGACTTGGTGTTGTGATGTGCACAACCAGCCTGCTGTATGTGGCAGCCCCAGTAGCCAGCCACAAGCGCTCAGCTCTGTACTAGGCATTGGCCAGGCACCTTGCAAGTATCACCTCGTTTATGATGCCACAACTTCACAGAGGAGGATTCTACAGTAATGCCCATTTTGCAGAGGAGGAAACACCAGCTCAAAAGCAGCTGTCCCATCTCAACTCTGCTGTTCACTGGGAAACCGCCATAGAGAGTAAATGGGCATGGTGTGTCTCAGGGCTGTGGGATTTGGTCTAAAGACTGTAATTTCCAGGCTCTAGCTCCAGAGGGTAGGGAGGCAGGGACAGAGCTGACATTCAAATCCAGGTCTGAGTGGCTCCAGCCTCCTTATCCGTCTGTCTCCTCCTGCATTTCTTTAACAGCCATGAAGAATACGAACGAGCCACTTACCTTTCTCCTTCCTGCTTGGCCTGCTCCTCCCTCTCCCTGCCAGCTCTTTTCCTGGGTGTTCACTTTTTTCTTTCCAGAGAGGACCTGTCTCATGCCCACTTCCCCTCTTGGCCCTCCATGGCCACTCCCCTGATGGAGCCCAGAGTCTTGGATCTCTTGGGATGCCCAGCAGCCTTGGGAACAACCCCAGACCTCTGCCTTAGGAGGCCCAGCTGACCACCCAAGACAGCCTGGATTTTCTTGGCCTCACACCTGTGCTTTGTTGAGTAATCTCTTTTATAACAGGACCTGTGTGAGATTCTCCTCCCAGAGGCCTCAGTTGAATAATAGGAAAGCTGGCTCAGCTTTCTAACTCCTGCAGAGCCCCAGAAGCCCTCCCCACCCCACTCCTCGTAGGTGCATACGTGGATCTCACAGGGGTTGTTTGCTGGGGCTCAGCACCCTGAGTGGCAAAGGCAATGGTTTTCCTCCTGCAGCTCTGAGCTAAGGCACCAGCCACATCCTTCAGGGTTCGTGCCTCACCCAGCACACCAGCCTGGCCTCAGGGAAACACTATCATCCACAGCTCACCGCTAATTTAATTAATTCTTTTTTAAAAAAAAAAAAAAAGGCCTGGAGCAAACCATTGAGCCAGAGCTGGCATAAGATGGGACTTGGGGTGCAGAACTGGCTTCATAATTGACAGGGCCCAGTGCAAGGTAAAAAAGGAGGGTCACTTGTTCAAATTGCATTTGGAATTTCAAGACAGTGACAACAGGTCAAACCAAACAGGGCTCCTCTTTCAAGGATGACCCTATGCGACTGAGCCCCACTGCCTGGCCCTGGGGCAGCCAACCCACTTGCTGGCTGGCATGGGGTGAAGGGCTCAGCCAGGCCAATCAGAGATTTTTTTCCCTGGAATTTAACAGGAGAGAGAGATAGAGACCACCCACTGGAAGTGAGGGAAACCGAAGTCATAAAACATCCCAAGGCCTCTGACAGTTTCCCCACACGGCAGCCTGAATGACCTTTTTAAAAGTGAATCAGGCAAGCCTTTCCCCGACTTGAACCCACCCGTCCACCCTCACTCCAGACGCCTCCCCGTCACTCAGCTCACACCACTCCAGCACACTGTGTCTTTTTGTTCCCCGAACAGACCCAGCTTGTTCAAGGTACATGAGTCACACATGCTGTTCCCTAGGCCCCAAATGGCCTCCCTCCTCATCTTAACTGTCAGATCGTCACGTCACCTCCTCAGAGAGGCCCTCCCCGAACCTGGCTGGCAGCGGGTCCCTCCTTAGTCCCTACGGGAGCCTGGAGCCGTTTGTGGTCTGTTTTCATTGGCTGGCGTGTGTGCTGACTGTCGGCCTCCCTAGCAGAGTGTGGGTTCTGTGAGCGCCGGGACCTGGCTTGTTCAGTTCTGTGTCCAGTGTCTACCACAGTGCCAGGAAGATCACAGGAACTCGAACACCTGTGGAATGCATGACTAATTTTATTAAATTATGCACTTTCTCAGTGATCATTCCCATTACGCAGGAGCGCCTGATGTTATGTACTTAATTTGTATCTGGCCACAATTGTCGAACGCCCTCAATTCCAGATGCTTTTCTGTTCATCCTTTTGGGAATTCTGGGTATATCGCTATATCCATGCAAATATTAAGGCTGCCTTCTCCTTTTCTAAAGTTATCCAACTTATTCTATTTCCTGCTTTATTGCTTTGGCAAGAGACAGTGAGTTCGTTTAACGATGGTGTGGCTGATGAAAAGCGAGCAGCTCTGGAAGATTTAGGGGGCACAGAGGGACTAAGAGCAGGTGAATAGCCAGGGAGCCAAGGTCGTTATTAAAGTGCGGCATGAGCTGAATAGGAGAGCTGAGGTCACAGGAAGGAAACAGCATAGCTGAGAATTACTCAGTCCAAGGATGGGCGACACTTGACAACAGGAGTAGGCAGCAAAGAGGGAAGATTCCAAAGCTCCAATCTGAATCTGGGCGTCCTAATACACTGGTACCCAGGCAGCTTGATCCCACGGACAAGAACATATCAAGTGCTCATTTAAAAATAACTGCAAATACTGATCATTTTTAGGGACCAAAAAATTATGAAGGATATAACCTGAAAGCAAACAGCCATATGAAAAAGATGAGAAAAATGTTAATTAGAATTCTCATTTTAGAAATGGTCCTGAGAATGTGAATTAACATGTCTGTGCTCTGACACTTCATCTGGCTACATCCAAAATACCTTATAATCACCTCTTTCTCCAGATTACACAGCACCTTTACGTATGTGGTCTTACTTGCTCCTCCTAACAGCAGCCTGCCAGGGGTCATCATAGAAAAGCCAAACATGGGTCTGGGGGCCGCCATTGCAAAGTACAATCTCCCGTTTGACACCTACATTCCCAACCTGTCACCTTGCAATGTGCACCCCGCCAAACCCCTCCTTTGTATTTCCCGACCCCAAAAAGCTGTTTGCCGCTTCCAGGTTTTCACACATCCCCAATCATCCACGAAACTGCATTCGGGCAGGGAATGGTTCTCACCCCCTTCCTAGTGTGGGGGCGGAAATGAGTCTGTCCACAGGCAACATGGTGGCCCTTGAGAGGGGGCTGATGCCTGGTGTTCCAAGTGGGGACACACGTTCCCAGTGGTCACATGAAAACCACATGCTGCAAGGCACTGGTTCCCCAAGACCAAAGAACACTTCAAAAGTTGTATTGAAGAAAATTGTGTGAAAGTTGTGTGAAGAAAATCACCAACAAATGTGTATTGATCACCTACAGCATTCCAGACCAGACACTGCCAGCTGTCAGGAACTGGCATATGATAGGAACGCAAAGCCAGACTCATGAAGAGGGCAGAGCTACTGTCTACATTTTCACTAAAATCACTGTAAGCAGCTTACGGCTAGGCAGTGTCTATACCTTTTAGGCCTTTTTTTTTTTTTAATCAGTCTCTTTCTCTGTCTGTCTGTCTGTCTCTCTCTCTCTCTCTCTCTCTCTCTCTCTCTCTCTCTGTCTCTCTCTCTCTCTCTGTACTTGTTCTTGGGCATTTCAAGGATAAGGAGCCAGTTTGCAGAAGAGGTAGCCCTTGTGTCTGAATTTTAAGTAAACTGACAGATTTGAAACTGCTGTGGTAGAATTGGGGCCATTGAGTGGCCAGACGTTTGACAACTATGCCTTTGCCATTAGGAACAGCAGTCTCTGAATTTCATCCTCTCCTCTTTGATGTGAAGAAAATGAAAAGCTGAACAGTTCCGCAAGAGAATTTGGAACTGTGCTAGAGAGTTAGACAATAAAGGGTAATACTTTCTTTTTATCACTGCATTCATCCAAATTGTTTTTAACAAGTACATATGAGTCTTTTTAAATACATTTTTTCTTTTCTGTTAAAGCACATTGAAAAACAGAAACTCAAACATAAGTCCATGTATAGTGGGGGAAAACTGTGGTTTGCAAAGTCAGGCCAAAAGTTCGTGTGTGTCAGCCCGTACCTTGAGGCCCATTATCACTTGACTTCCATACTCCAGACACATCAAAAACAGCATCTCCAATTCTGACAGCACTGGGCATGCATTCTGTCATGGTTTCCGTTTTTATAAGTGAAGAAACTAAGGCTCAGAAAGTCAGGTAGCTTGCCCAGGTATGCACAGTAGCAAGTGGCCAAGGTCCATGTGACATGAAAACCTTCTCCTTCAACTGTGCCCCACGGGGCAGAGTGGGATGAGAGGCTCAGCTCCGAGCAACTCCTCTGCCCATCTCTACAGCTTCCATGTACTCGGAGATCCAGAGGGAGCGGGCAGACATCGGGGGCCTGATGGCCCGGCCGGAATACAGAGAGTGGAATCCAGAGCTCATCAAGCCCAAGAAGCTGCTGAACCCCGTGAAGGCCTCTCGGAGTCACCAGGAGCTGCACCGGGAGCTGCTCATGAACCACAGAAGGTGGGGATGAGGCCCTGTGGCCCCGGCACGGCAAGCACCTGGTCCTGTGGGACTTGGGGAGGTGCCCCTGGAGGAAAGCAGGGCTGGTTGTCATCCTGGGGCTTCTGGAGACTGAGGAGGGCTGAGTGTGCCCTACATGATCACCAGCAAAACCTGTAATGGCCCCATCCCCAGCGGGCCCCTGGAAACCAGAGGGACCCAAAAAGCCCTGTTCTCTGGCCCAGCCACCCATTTCACGCCCACACTCCAGATACATTTACTGAGTACATACTATGTGTTGGGCGCGGAGTCCAGACCTGGGGGTGCAAGAATGAATGGGACCCAGTTCCTGTCCTAACAGGGACAGGTGCACAGCCAGGCAGTAGGATGGGTGCATTGGCCTGAGACCCCAGAGGAGGAACCCGCGAGGGTTCTAAAATGACTTCACAGGAACGGTGCTGCTTCAGCTATGACCTGAAGGGGGATTGGAGTCAGCCAGGCCGCGAGGTGGGTGTTGTGTGGCAGAGGGAACCGCATATGCAAATGAGCAGGAAACAGGAACTGCTCACTGTGCCTCGGGCTTTGATTGTGCGGTGCCTGCCAGGGCAGAGGATGGACTGAGGAAGGGTCTACAGCGAGGGCACAGGTCTGATCGCGCTTCAGAAGGGCCCTCCTGGTGAGGTGTAGGGATGGGGGAGCTCACAATACCGAAGTGGGCAGGAATATTGCCGAGGCCCAGGAGGGTGGCTGGCTCTTCCCTGGCAGTCCGTGGTGAGCATTGACAGAGACAGGCCAGAGGGGCATCTGGGAGGTGGCAGGGCTGGGATGGGGCAATTGATGGGACGTGAATTGGAGGAGAGGAAGGCTGAGCCCCCCACCTCCGGAGGACCGGGAAATACTCCTGCTCACCAGTAACAGCGTGAATGCAGCAGTGCTTTCAGAGCTCCCTCTGCTGGCTGTCTCCGGTATTAGAGCCGGTTGTGATTGCCATTCTTCTTGTCAGCTGTGACCGACATCCTCGCAGTTACTTTGAACACGGAGTGGCTTTTGTTTTTGTTTTCAATTAGCATTATAATATAAGCATTCTCTCTGAAGAGCTTTTAGGCTCATCCCTTTAATATCAAAAAACATCACCACAATCAAAAATAAAGGCTTAAAGATAAACCAGAGAAAGTATTTGCAATATAAATAAATTTTATTTTTAAAACTCGCATATACAGAAAAAAAAGAATATATTCAGGTCTCTTAAAATCCACAAAGAAAGATGAATCAAAAGTAATACAGTACAGCGAGACATGGTGGCTCACACCTGTAACCCCAACACTTTGGGAGGCCGAGGCAGGAGGATCACTTGATCCCAGGAGTTCAAGGCTGCAGTGAGCTATGATTGTGCCACTGCACTCCAGTCTGGGCAACAGAGCGAGTGCTTGTCTGTAAAAATAATTATACAGTTAATTCACAAAGGAAGAAATGCAAATGGCTGGTAAACATATCAAATGTTGTCCCATGTGACAAAGAAACAAATGAAAACCAGATATTATTTCATGCCTACCAGATTCTCGAATATAAAAAGATTGGCTGGTGACGGTGGGGAGAAACAGATGCTCCTGTCCACTGTTCACAGGAGGACACACTGGATAACGTTTCTCAGGCACAGGGAGATCCATATACCTAAAATATTTTAAAGGAGCCTGGCCCAGCAATTCTACCTTTAGAAACGTATCCTGAGAAAATAACCAGAAATAACATAAAACCTGGTCTCTGCAGTCAGACAGGCCAGGGTTCAAAGCCTCATTTGGCCCATCTTTAGCTGTGACTTGGACTGGTAACTTCAGGTCTAGAGGCCTCAGTTTTCGTCTCTGTAAAATGGGACAGTAACGGGTCCACCTCCAAGGCTACAGGGAGGTTGCACAAGGTAATAGTGGAGGGTGTGGTGTCACAGCAGGATGAAGCCCTGAGGCTGGGGGAGGCAGGAAGGTGATGGTCTCCTGACGGCTCCTCCCTCCCCACGCCAGGGGCCTTGGCGTGGACAGCAAGCCAGAGCTGCAGCGCGTCCTGGAGCACCGACGGCGGAACCAGCTCCTCAAGAAGAAGAAGGAGGAGCTGGAGGCCAAGCGACTGCAGTGCCCCCTTGAGCAGGAGCTGCTGAGACGGCAGCAGAGGCTGAACCAGGTGGGTGACAGGCACCCAGCGGGGGACCACGCAGCCTCCAGGGCGATCCCCTGACCCAGGGAGGAGCTCTGCTGTGGCCACAGCCAGTGAGAGGAAAGAGGGTCAGCAGACAGAGCACTGGACTATGAGTCCACCCCTGGCCTGAGTCCTCCCTCTGCCATTTGCTTTGCTGGGTCATTAGGGCAAGTGGCTTCCCCTCTCTGAACCTCAGCTTCCTCACTGGCCCAGTGTCCTGCATGCTAATTCTGATTTCATTCTCATAACTGTCTGACGAGCCAGGTGTCATTCCCACTTGAGAGATGGGGAACCTGAGGCCCAGAGGAGGTGAGTGATTAGAACCAGACTTCACAAGAACGCAGTCTCATGCTCTGTGCCCCAGCTACCAGGCTGGCAGCAAAGCCCATCCCCAGGCTGGTTCTGTTTCCCCACTGTATGGGCCCTCAGTCCCAACTCCATGGGTTTTCAGAGTAGGAATCCCCATAGCTCCACCCACCTCACTCCTCTGCTTCTCCTTCTTTCAGCTGGAAAAACCACCGGAGAAGGAAGAAGATCACGCCCCCGAGTTTATTAAAGTCAGGGAAAACCTGCGGAGAATTGCCACGCTGACCAGCGAAGAGAGAGCGCTGTAGGGCCGGCTGCTGGGGCTCGGGCCACCGCGCACCCCGGCCTGGACACCCTCCTCCAGCCCTTCTGCACCTGGCAGCCCTGGGCCCCAGGCCGTAGGACATCTGTGATGTTTCCACCTGCTTCTGTAGAAGTGTGTCGCCCCAGAGGGCCTGGCTCTCCCTGGGAGGCTGGGGCCCTAAGCTCCCAGGCTTTTCCTTCCAAGCACCCAAGCCGTCCTGCTCCAAGAGGGAAAGCTGCACCCCTCCCTGCAGGGGATTCGGAGCCTTGCACGGGAGGTTCTTCTGGCAGAATTGAGGAGGAAGAGGCAGCCCTCTGGCTTGACAAGCCTTCCGCTCTGCCCAGGCCTTCCCACCAGGGATCTCCGAGGCTCCCCGGGGCCCCGCTTCTCCACGCACCCTAGCTCCTAGGTCTCAGAGAACTCCCCCACCTGTAGTTTTACCTGCAGCCAGCAGAACTTAGCTTCAAGGGCACCTGCCTCTAAAGCCACTGAGGGGAGGAAGGGCAGGGCAGACGGCAGGTGGCCTTGTTGCACCCCGGCCGCGTGGGAGGGGCTAACACAGACGGCTGTTCAGGGTCTTCTCCCCTCACCATGCGTTCATCGTCCCCTCTGCACTGCGCCCAGCCCAGGCCTTCTAACCACACCCAGCCAGGGTGGCCGCCTTCCTGCACCTAGAAGTCTGCTTCACAAACTTGATAGTGCACAAAAATCACTGGGGGTCTTGTTAAAATACAGCTTCTAATTCAGTAGATCTGGGGCGGGGGCTGACATCCTGCATTTCTAACGAGCTCCCAGGTGAGGTGGAGGCTGCTGGTGTGAGGACCCTGCTGTGAGCAGCAGGGCCAGAGTGCCCAGGGCTGGTGTATATTAGAAATATTGGCCAGGCCTGGTGGCTCATGCCTGTAATCCCAGCACTTTGGGAGGCCGAGGTGGGCGGATTACCTGAGGTCGGGAGTTTGAGACCAGCCTGGCCAAGATGGTGAAACCTCGTCTCTAATAAAAATACAAAAATTAGTCGGGTGTGGTGGTGGGCGCCTGTAATCCCAGCTACTCTGGAGGCTGAGGCAGGAGAATCGCTTGAACCTGGGAGATGGAGGTTGCCGTGAGCTAAGACTGTGCCACCGCACTCCAGCCTGAGCAACAGAGGGAGACTCCATCTCAAAAACAAATAATACAAATAAATAAACATCACCCTTGAAGCCATAGCTGCCCCACACCTCCCGTGGACTGATGCCCCAGGAATTCCCACCTCTCAAACACACCTGGCCCCATCTCACCTCTGTAACCCAGGGATTCTTCATTATCCACCCCACCCAGACTCCCACCCCAGGGATTCCCCATGAAGACTTTGGCCTAGCAAATTGTGTTGGTCATGCAAGTGCTGTTTGCATCAGAGATGTGCGCGATTGCCAACCTGCACTTCTTCCCAGTGTGACCGCACTGCTATGATGCAATGCCAGCAAAAAAGAAAAAGATTTTTTTTTTTTTTACTTTTTCCTACAGTCTTATGGAAAGCAAATATACAATAATTTCCAATAGGCTTCTGGAATAGAAACAGTGGTTTAAAGACCCCATTGCTACATTTATGGACTGGCCCCTTTGAGTCTCCCAACCCCTACCTGGGCCAACTCCAGTGAAATCATCCATTTTTCTTCTTCAGAAGGCCTGTGTGATACCCACATATTTTAACCTTTTGCTGTTATCCCATTTTTAAAGATTTAGGGAATGAACCAGGCCTGTTTCTTTTCCCCTGAAATCCCTGCCTCTGGCTTCGTAAACCCATCATCTGAGGTGACAGAGCAGTGCTGGAATAGCATCTCCTTCCACTCCCCGAAAACTGCCACAAAGAGCGGCCACTGGCACGCGCTTCGATTCCTGGAGGCGAACGTGGGACTGTCAGGAGGAAAGGGATTGTCCTGGTCTTACTCATAGCTGGGTGATTTGAGGGGGACCGAAGTCATGCTTTTCCTGTGTGTGCTGCCAGCACAGGGCTGAACATGCAGAGATTCCACCTGTGTGCATGTGTACGAGTCAAGCTCCGAGAGGCTCCTGAACGTGACTGGCATGCTGAGAATGTGGTTACGCTGTTTAACACCTGCCAGGTGAGGGTTACGCTGAAGATGCACAATCCCTAAAATAAAGATCACCACTTCCCCCAAAGAAGCGGCCCTCGGGTCCATGTGTTGTTCAGACATGTGAAGAGAAGCAAGAGAGAGGGTCCCAGATGGACGAGGGCTCTCCAAGGGAATGCCTGGGGCTTCACCCAGTGGTCCCCAGAAGTGCTCCTTGGAGGCAACAAATCATTCCATGAAGCCCGAGAAGTAGATGGGACCTCAAGCGTCACGCCCTCCAGGGCAGCCGTGTAGACACCCTCGATTCCCGTCTCCAACTCTCCAGCCACTCCAATCGTGGAGGCTGTAAATTCAGATTCTCACTGTTCCAGTCTCCTTTGCAGCTTAGGATGACTATGTGATCAGCTATGGCCAATGAAATGGAAGAGGAAGTCTACAGGGTCTTCTGGGAAAGCTTTGCTTTTCTGATAAAAGACATAGGCAGACCTAACACCTCCCTGGCCCTCTTCTTCCTGCCTTGATTGAGGGTGTGATGCCTGGAGCCACAGCAGCCACCTTGCTACCATGAGAAAAAGGCCAAGAGAATCACAGAGTCATTGACCCTATCACTATTTCACCAAGCCAATGCCAGCAGCCATCCTTCTCCTCTTGTAAATAAAAGAAATCCTTCTTTGTTTAAACCATTGTTGGTCAGTCTCTGTTACTTGCAACCAAAATTATCCCTAACTGACACAGAAGGCCAGTCCCTGCCTGTCCAAAATTACCTGCAGGCTGGGCTAAAATTCCAGATTCAACTTTCCCAACAGAAGCCTATTGGATCAGGATCCCCAACTGCAGTGCCTGGGATCTGTTTTTCTCCACCTTCCCCATAAAGTCTGCCTGGCATGAGTCTGAAAACTGGTACTTGAACATCACTAGTGCACACATCATTCAACAAATATTGGTCAAGTACCCACTCTGTGCCAGGAAGCACGCCACGAGCTGGGGCACAGTGGAGAACAAAGATGCAGGGCCTACCCCTCATCCTGATGACTGCAGTGGCCTCTCCCAGCTGATCTCCCCTACTGGCCTTGTCCCGACAGCCTGTTCTCAACAGAGGAGCCAAAATCATCCTGTTCCAGACTAAGGCAGAACTTGACCCTGCACGGAGCCCTCCCCGGCTCCCAGTGGAATCTCCTGCACTCCAGGTGGGCCTGCGAGTCCAGCTCCCTCTTAGCCTCTGACCTCCTTCCTGCACTCTCCCCCTCGCTCACACAGCCCCAGTCAGCCTGGCTGCCTACCCTCTCCAGGCACGCCCCATCCCCATGCCTTCCCACCTGCTCTTCCCCAGCCAGGAGTATGCTTCCCTCCGAGAACCGCCCGGCCCACCCTCTCACTTTCTTCAGGCCTTTCATCACCCTCCTTCTAAATGGGGTCCCTTTTAGCCACCCCATCTAAAATCTCAACTTCTCCAGCCTTCCTCTGCCTGCCTTGCCTTCTTTTTCAATCCTTACCATTTATCACCATTGAACATATCCTGTATTTTACTAATTTGTCTCTTGTGTCCCTCCTAATGATAATGCCAGCTCCATAAGGGCAGAGATTCTTGTCTCTCTCATTTACTGCTGAGTCCCTAGTGCACAGGGCCCAGAGAAGGTGCTCACAAAGTTTTTGTTGAATGAATGAATGAGAAGCCCCTTCTCCCTCTGCAATACACCTTGCCTCTTCCCAGGCCCAGCCCATAACAACCAGAAAAGGCCCCAACTTCCTCCTTCCTCCACAGTCTCCACCCTGACCTACAGATGTTTATTTGGTCAGAAGCCCTCCTCTACCCTCTTGGGCGTTCATCAATACACCTGGGCCTGGCCTCACTGGCATCATGCCAGGAGGACCCACATCAGCGCTGTGTGGCTCCTGCACACCACAGGGACGTCTAGAGAGTCAGCTCTTCCCTGGAGGCTGATGATGAGGCCATCACCCAAGCCTGGAGTCCGTGGAGAAGCAAAAGGGCTGCTGCAGTAGCTTCGGCTTCGGACCTTGCCCTAAACAGGGAGCCAAGACAACCCCCGTTCTTGCCGGCACCACACTCTCTCACACGCACCAGACCACGGGTCCTGGTTTGGGTTTGCAGAATGCCCCCGTCAATGGCAAACCAGCACTAAACACAAAACCCGGGATAGAGGGCTGACCTCAGGCCATGAAGGGACCCTCCATCCCTGACCCTGTAGCCTGTGTGTCACTGGAGTCCTCAGAGCGCAGGAGCTTTGGCGGGCAGCCTCACCATACCTGAGGTTACACTGACTCCAAACCCTATGAGGGAGGGACTCTGTCTGATTCTGCTCACCTTTTTCCAGGGCCCTGAAAATAGTTAGGTGCCCCAGAAAGCTGTCAATGGATGTGAGTAATGATCACTGCATTTATAGAGGGCCAGCAATGTCAGCGCCCAGGACAACCAGGTGTCTTCCTCCCCACTCTGCAGATGAAGACACCTGGGCTCAGGTAAGTGAAGGGCCTTGCCGAAAGACATAACGCAATGCCCCGGGAGAGATGCGATTTGTACCCAGAGTGACCTGCCTGCAGAGTCTTCTTTCTTTCCACTATGGCCAGGCCTTGCTCCTGGAAAGTGCTCCTGGGAGGCCCCTACACCAGCCTGACCATGCACCATGGGATCCAGGGACCTACTTTATCTTCCATTTGTCTGTCTGAGCTTGAAATATTTAGCTTCTGCCTATAAAAACAGATTCAAGTTAATGCAGACCGACCCGCGTTCTGGGGTGAGGAATGTCCACTTGCATCTATGACCACGTCTCCAGATGCCCCAGATGCCTCCACCCACACATTCAACCAGTCTCTGAGGCCAACGAATAGGTCAGGATTGGCCAGATGTGGTGGCTCACACCTGTAATCCCAGTATTTTGGGAGGCCGAGGTGGGCGGATCATTGAGGCCAGGAGTTCAAGACCAGCCCAGCCAACATGGAGAAACCCTGTCTTTACTAAAAATACAAAAATTAGTTGGGCATGGTGGCACATGCCTGTAGTCCCAGCTACTCGGTGGCTGAGACAGGACAATTACTTGACCATGGGAGGTAGAGTTTGCAGAAAGCACACTCCTGCACTCCAGCCTGTGACAGAGTGAGACTCCTTCTCAAAAAAAACAAGAGGTCAGGCTCTACAGCTGTGCTGGGATTCCTTGCATTCCTTGCAGGCCTAGACCTCTCGCTGAGAAGTAACTTAATGATGCGATTTTTCAGTGCCCCAAAGACCCACCAACCAGCAACCACCTCACTCCTGCTAGTTTCTTGCCTTACAGTGCCCCTCCTGCTGGACTCACAAAAACAGAACTAATTGCCTTAATCTCCTCCTGTCCGTTTGTCCTGGTCAGCTCAGGCTGCCTTAACAGAATCCCGTATACTAGGTGGCTTAAACAACAGAAACCTATTTTCTTTTCCTTTTTTTGAAGTGAAGTCTCTCTCTATTGCCCAGGCTGGAGTGCAGTAGCAAGATCTCAGCTCACTACAACCTCCGCTTCCCAGGTTCAAGTGATTCTCCTGCTTCAACCTCCCAAGTAGCTAGGATTACAGGCGCCCGTCACCATGCCCAGCTCATTTTTGTATTTTGAGTAGAGACAGGGCTTCTCCATGTTGCCCAGGCTGGTGTCAAACTCCTGACCTCAGGTGATCCACCTGCTTGGGCCTCCCCAGGTGCTAGGATTATAAGTGTGAGCTACCGTACCCCACTAAAAATGTATTTTCTCACAGTTCTGAAGGCTTAGAAGTCTAAGATCAAGGGGCCTTCATGGTTGGCTTCTGGTGACAGCTGTCCTTCTGGCTTGCAGATGGTCACCTTCTCACTGTGTCCTCACACTGGGGGAGAGGC